ACTTCATTCCTTTCAACCATTTCATTAAACACCCCATTTAAAGCCTCAACATTCCCACACTTCCCATAAGCATCGACCATCGCATTGCCCATCCTCACTTCACCATCCAAACCAACCTTGAAGACGTAACAATGAACCGAACTAACTAAATTTACATCCTCGAGCCCCGCACATACAGGCAACACACTCACAACAGTGACCGCATCAGGCCTAAACCTGGACACCAAAACCATGTCCTTGAACAACCTAACAGTTTCCAACCAACACCCGTTATCTGAAAATACCCGAATAACAGTACTCAATGCGATCAAGTCTCTTTTAGGCATTTCGTTGAACAGGTTCTCAACACTGCCCAAATCCCTACAATTCCCATAAAATAGAAGAAGGGTGTTATTCACAAACACATTATCATTAAACCTAGTCTTGATCAACATCCCGTGTACTTCTAACCCTTTTGCTCTTTCTAAAAAATCCGCACAAAGCTTCAGTACAAAAGAAAATGTGTGATCATCTAGCGGGAAACCAGTGTTCCTGAACAAGTCGTTGTATATCAGAAACCCTGGAGCAGCATCTATGTAGCTTTTCTGGGACCCACTGGCTAGAACAGTGTATGCCCTGATGAGAGTGTTGTGGAGGAAAGCGGAGCGAGAAAAGGGGAGGGTCTGAGAGAAGAGAGCGTAAAGGGTGGAGGGGTGGGAATATAAGTTGGCGTAAGAGAGGATGAGTGCTGAGGAAATGGAAACGCTACGGGGGAGATGGCCGTGAAGGATGGCCTGTGCGTGGATTTGTTGGGTTTGGGAAAGGGTTTGAGCGGCGTCACAGAGGAGGAGGAGGATATCGGTGGTCCGCTGCCATTGGGGTGATGCGGCGGCGGCGGAGAGAAAGAAGATTTTATGTTGGACATGAATGTGACTGCAAAGGAATTTGCAGGAAGTTAAGCGGAGAGCGTGGACATGGTGGAACATAACTTTCTACTCGGGAAGTCTAGCTACAAGCAGGATTCAGATCCAACCCAATAGAAAAGAGAAAATTACACGAAAACATGGATTTAATATTTCATTATCAAAACTCAAATTTGTTTGATACGCATTCTTTTGAAAGAATGTATTATTGAATAGTAGATTGATGGAGAATGTGTGGTTAAAAATGAAGGAAAAGTTATTAATGTGATGAAAAATATTATTTTATTGAAGAATATGTGATTGAAAATGAGTAGAATAGTGAGAAT